TAATATTTCCCTTGAAATTGTCCCTTATTACTTCTGATATCAGGATTTTTTTGCGTCAAAGTCATATTTCTGTACTTCAGTTTTCAGACCATTATTGTGTGAGATGGGAGAGCAAATAAATTGAATCAATCAATGAATAAATAAGCTCACATCAGACCAGGCATTATTATTTCGTGTGAACTGAATGCCTTGGACCTCCTTCCTAAATTCTACTATCCTAGTAGGGTTAAAGAGAGACATGTATAACTATGGTCTCAGCTGATTAAAAACATTGCAGACTCTAGGCCTGCAATTTTGGGAGTTTCCTGACTCCAAACAGGTCAAGATGAAGCTTATTTCCCATTGGGACCAAGTGGAGTTCCATCCAGTCTTGATTCCATTTTATCAGATTGAGACCAAAGTTGAACTCAGGCTCTGGTCAACAGAATTGCCTTCAACTTTGATATTTGAAGACAAGAAATTAGTGTACCTGAAGCTATTAATATCAAAATCCTCAGTATATGAGGCCCTCTGTCACCGGTTTTATGGTGATAAAGAAGAGACATGAAATGGCAATGATTATTGTCCTAAATAATAATCATTCCAAATCTCATTTTGGATATAGCTGAATCAGCTTACAACAGTATTCAGCATTATAACATCAAAAGGATACCTTGGTCAATAGAAGAGAAGCCTCCCTATTTTCTAAGAAAATTATAAAAGTTTTACTGCACACATTCAATTCTCAGTGAAGGTTATCCCCCATTTTGACTAGATTTAGCCCACTTGAAAAGGGTCCTAATTCTTTGGGAAAATGAAAAAAACACATCACTATTTTCCCCACCTTGTTGAGCAACTTTAGCTGTGACAAAGCATCTTGGTTGATTATCAGTTGCTGCCTTTCAAAACTCCCCAATTCCTTGTTGATGGGATCCTCCTTGAGGAGAACTACCCTACTGTTGATCTTTAGATCTGCTGCTACCTCTCCATTTTGATCCAAGTACACTTTCAGCAGGGAAAGATTGAACAATTCCTTCTTCTTTAGAAATGGATGGAACTAGAATGGAAACATCCAGGAACTTTAAAAGCAGAAATCTTGTTTTGTTATCTCTTTTTACATTTGAATCTTTCTTCTATGGTTGTTTAACTTGCAAATATTGTGAGTTGGCATGTGGCCACTATCTTTAAAACTCAAGAACAAAGGTTCAGTAATAATTCTCAATCATACAGTATATTGACAAAAAGTATAGTGAGAAGATATAATTGGCAAAAATTGTCAATTACAAGAAACATTTTAGGAAAGGTCATAAATCAATTGAAGAAAACCCCCAAATATCAAGAGCATTCATAAACTCTTTGGAAACAAGAGGGTGATTATCAGAAAGCAAGGATTTGTTAAGAAGAAAGTTGCAAGACTAAGACAGGAAAATGACCAGATGAACTAATTCTATTTTACTGCAAGACAATATTAACAGAATCTTGCAAGTATGAAAATACAAATCTTTCACCATCTCTTTTTACAGTCTAAACATTTGGGAGGACCTTCTCTGAATTTCTTTCTCTCCCTGTAACACAGATGCTGCTTCATCCTCCCCCCCACCATCTTATCTGATCCTTCCCTGCATCTCTTTCTCTAGTCCTCCAAACTAATTCCTACATATCCCACTTCCTTAATGGATTGTGTGAATGCTGGTGGTAGAACTTGTTTTCAGCAAAGAATTAACAAAATGATTCATGATGTGATGAATGGGGATCTAGTTAATTGATTGCTAGATGGCATGATAATTAAATGGATACAACTGTCTTAAAACTTGTATTCAAATAAATTTTAATCTTAATGATAAAATTGGAAATTATGAACAAGTGTATTTTCATTGATAAAAGAAATAGATAAATCATGTTTTTGTGATGCAAATATTATAATAATGCTTATACAAAGTTATTTTGATCTCCTTAAAAAAAATTCCAGCTTCCAGAAAATAAAAATATGATTTTGTGATAGAGAGAAGTGCATAAGTAAAATCCATTTGGAAATGAACTAATTTTTAGCATCTAGTACTCGATAGATGACTGTATCTTTGTGATTTTTCTCACATTGTTTTATATAGATAATGGTTACTTATTATAATAAAGTAGCAGTAATCTTTTAATGATACGATAATATCCCTATTATTAATTTGGCGATAATGCTATTAATGATCCAGTGGAATCATTTCATGTCCTCTTGTAGAAAACACACTTAGAGAAGACATTGCAGAAAAATATCCATCAGCTTTGAGTGCAGCGCAGCAGCCATGGTGGCTCACCTCAGCTCGGGCCACGTCCCATTGACGGTGCTGCGGGAAGCCAGGCGGAGGGAGCTGCGCGCCTTCCTCGACAAATGCACCGGATCCAAGGCCATTATGTGGGATGAGTATGTTACTGGGCCCTTTGGATTGATTGTGCAATATTCTCTTCTGAAGGAACATGAGGTGGAGAAAATGTTCACCCTCAAAGGGGGTCACCTTCCACCGGCTAATGTCAAGAACATTATTTTCTTTGTCAGGCCCAGGTTAGAATTCATGAACATAATTGCAGACAATGTGTTCAGTGAAGACAAAATCCGCTGTCCGCAGCGGGATTTCTACATCTTGTTTGTTCCGCATCACAGTTTGTTGTGCAAACAGCGCCTCAAAGAACTGGGTGTGTTGCACTGTTTTATTCACCGAGAGGAATGCAGCCTGGACCTCCTCATTCCCTTTGACAGCGACCTCTTGTCCATGGAGTCAGAAAACGCCTTTAAGAAGTGTTACCTAGAAAATGACCAGACCTGCCTCTACCATGCTGTGAAAGGACTCATGATGCTCCAGGCTCTCTATGGAACCATCCCACTCATCTTTGGAAAAGAAGAGTGCGCATGGCATGTGGCAAACATGATGATCTGCACGAAAAGGGACTTTTCGGGGATCCAGAACACCATCCTGCCCATCTTCGATACCCTTCTGCTGCTGGATCACAACGTGGATTTGGTCTCTCCTCTGGCTACCCAACTGACTTATGAGGGCCTAATTGATGAAATATATAGAATTCAGAACACCTACATAAAACTTCCCCCTGAAAAATTTAACCCAAGAAGCAGGGGGAGGCTGTGAAGGAGCTCCCCACCGAGGCCAAGAAGCTGCAGCTGAACTCCACGGAGAAGCTGTACACGGAGATCTGCAACAAGAACCTCAATGCTGTGGGCAGCGTCTTGAGCAAGAAAGCCAAAATCATTTCAGCTGCTTTTGAGGAAAGGCACCACACCAAAACCGTGGGGGAGATCAAGCAGTTTGTCTCACAGTTGCCGCACATGCAGGCTGCCAGAAGCTCTTTGGGGAACCATACCTCCATCGCGGAGCTCGTGAAAGACATCACCACCTCTGAAGACTTCTTCGATAATTTAACCGTGGAGCAAGAATTTATGTCCGGGATAGATACCGATAAGGTCAACAGCTACATAGAAGATTGCATTGCCCGAAAGTATCCTTTGATTAAGATACTGAGGCTCATTTGCCTGCAGTCGGTGTGCAACAGCAGCTTAAAGCAGAAGGTGCTGGATCATTACAAGAGAGAAATTCTCCAGACTTATGGCTACAAACACATCTTGACCTTGAATAGCCTAGAAAAGGCTGGACTTTTGAAGCCCCGGCTGGGCAGTCGGAACAACTACCCAACCATCTGGAAAACTTTGCATCTGTGTATGGACAACATCAAAGAGCAGAACCCAAATAATATCTCTTACGTCTACAGTGGTTATGTGCCTCTAAGCGTTCGTCTGGCACAGTTGCTTGTCCGGCCAGGTTGACGAAGCATTGAAGAAATCTTAAAAATACTTCCTGGTCCACATTTTGAAGAGAGGCAGCAGCTGCCAACCGGGCTTCAGAAAAAGCACCAGCATGGAGAAAACCATGTCACTCTCGTCTTCTTTCTGGGAGGCATGACCTACGCCAAAATCGCAGCCCTCCTGTTCCTCTCTCACATGGAAGACGGGGGCACTGAATACGTCATCGCCACCACCAAACTGATTAATGGAACAAGCTGAATCAAGTCCCTGATGGAGAAGCTGGAGCCCCCACCCTTTTAGGAAGGACAGACCGAGCAGGACTCGATTGAGATGGGACCGTGAGACTCGCGAGAAACGGATGACTTCGGAAGAGAGGACTTGCCAATTGAAAAGGAAGACAGTTTCTCAGCTGCTTTCTAAAAAAATATGGATCAAGAAGGAAAGCTCAGCCTGGCAATCTGCATTTTGGTTTGCTCCCTTGCGTCATTCACAATGGTCACTCCCTGACTTTTTCTTACGGTTTCTAAATCCCTTCTTCCTTAGTGTATATTCCACAATCTTTCAGGATGTTTTTTCCTAATATTTCCTCCTCCTTCCCATTCTGTAGTTAGCTTGGTTTTCTTACTTCGGTCCACTGATATTCTTCATTTTTCTCTCCAGGCAGTTCATCATGTTGGTGGATTGTAATCTAGCCACTTTCCATCTTCGGCTGCTATTCTAAAGCTTGAAAGTCTGCAAATCTGTAACAGAATCTGCCCCTTACGTGATACAGCTCTACCCCAATCCTATTTTCATGGAATTCGCTTCCTTGATTTGTTTCTAGCAGGTTTCAATCCTGGAAATACTGTTTTGCTGCCAATTTTGAAAAATCCTGCTCTCTTTTTTCCCCCATGAATACCTCCTAAATGCTTACAAGCCCCCAATGTTTATTTTTATTTTATTAATTAAATTAAAAATATTGAACCAAACTCATTTGCACTGAACATTATTGTGAATAGTGGGAGAAGAGGCTACTGTTTAATCAAACCTCATTCAGTTGCAAACGAACAAGCATGTTTAAAAAAGTGCTGGAATAATACCTTTGAAGTCTGAGAAGATAAATGTTATAAAGACGCCAACGCAGGCATTTTTCAGCCAAATATGAATATATATATATATATATATTCATCAGCTTTAAGCAAAAACAAAGAAGGCAAGGAAGAGATCAGAGGAACCTCTTTTAGCCTTGAGGAAAGACAAGGAAAAGAGCCATTTCAGTTTACAGGAGCTGAAAATCAGATGGAGTCTAGGAACATTTTTTTTTTGAATATAGAAAATGGTTGTAGAAGGGAAGATGCAATGCTCTTCCAATAAGTACGAGATGTTGTACAGAAGCTTAAGATCTTAAACAAACAAGCTCTGAGAGCCCCAAAGACCCTGAAAAGGAATTTAGTTTGATGGATCCTTGATGGGACCCCATACCTTCCACGGTTGCAGCCTTGGAGTCCCCAGCCTCTCTTCTCCCTTCTCCCTTCTCCTCTGGGGTTTGGATGCAGCTTTTAAGGCATGGGCCAGAATCTTAAGGACACTGTAAGTATAGCCCTCATTTGGGATCCACATCCTATTCTTTTCCTCTTTTGTCTCCAATGGTACTTTCTGGGTGCATCTTCTCCGGCCTTTGATAGAAAATATGTGTTTTGAAACAGAACAGTGAAAATACTCAACTTGAAATTCACGTTCCACAAAGAAATATCTTTTATAGGCATCATCATCGTTCCAACTCTTTTTCCACTGAAGAGAAAAGGTCCAAATACTATGGACATACTTGAGAAGCCTCTGCTTTTTCATTACATATATTCCAAGCGTTGTCATGATCCAGACTTTCCCTTCAATGGGTCCTGGCAAACGCTTGAGCGTTAAATGGAAAGGAAGAATTCTGTCAAAAATGGAATCAAATCCTACGAAGTGAACAAAGACATTGACTTGTTTCCACTTAAAGATGGCATCGCTGAGGACTCCTGTATTTCCAGTCGCTGAGAATTGTTGTGATATAACAACACAAATTCCATTCTTGACAAGCATAGGAGTAAAAGTCCTCATGAAATTCTCTCCCTTCTCTGTGTCCGAAGCAAAGAGACCAATCAGGGTCCATCCAAAATGAAGGAGCAGTTGGACAATTCCTGGGTATAGGACCGTTTCTTTGGGGAGCATCGGATGGGAAAAAGGGAATTGACTTTTATCACTCAGATCATCCGAAGTAATTTTATTACTGATCTGAAAAAAGTAGATTTTTTTTAAAAAAATAAATAAGTAAAATGCAATTAGCATTAAGAATAAAAATAGTATTGGACTTCCTGTCTGGCTTCCGGCGCCGCCAGACGGTCCTCCGTGACCGCGGCCCCGTTGCCTGTAAAAGAGCCGCCTTTACATCTGAAAGGCGGCTCGAAAAACTCCATTTCCTGATGGAAATGTGAGTCTGAGCGGGCGGGGGTGGGTAGAGCCATCTGCGAAGTCCCCAGAGTCTTTTTTTAACTCTTGGGGACGAGCAGGTTTGAGCTCTCTATTGTCCCTCGCTGCTGCTCCGGGTATCGGGTGCACTCTGCTTTTTTTTTGCAGAGCTAGGCGCTGGAACCGGATTAACTAACGAATCTAACAGATGGACTTATTTAAAAAAGATGAGATACACAACCTACAGAAAGGAATTTAGGATGGAGATCCAACCCACAAAAAGTCAAGAAAAGAAGAAGTAGGTCTCACAAATATAAAAACTTTTAAACTAAACAACAGTGCAATGCCAGTTACTTATGAGAGGACTGAACATATGAAATGATAATTGGCAAAGTATTGGTTTATTTTATCCTGAGGATAGGGCAGATCTCTGCAGTGCTGAATTATTTTGGGATGTGAAAAAGGCCTTAAATTGAATGGTTGGAAACATCTTGTTTGTTTTTTTTTTGGATTTCCGGATAAATATATTACTTGTATGCTGAGTTATATGGCAAGAGATCTACTGGATCATGGCACGCAGAAGATCTGGTTGTTACCCTATTATGATGGTTGGAACTAATAATCTGGATAACAGACATCTCCATAAACATTATATAGAATATAATTATAAAGTCACTCGGGTGGTTGTCGGGTTTTTTTTTTTTTTTTTTCTTCCAATATGAAGATACTTGTTACTGATGGGGGCAGATGGCAATTGAAGATACTGAAAATACTGCTGGAACAAGGATGCGATGTTACCCTAACACGGGTGATGGAGTTTATCATCCAGTTGAAAGATATTACAGAAGATGCAATATGGATTACAAGTTTAAAGTTTTTTTCTTTTAGGATTTTATTTACATAAGGGAGTATTTTTCTAGGGGAGTGGGCAGAAGAATAAAGATATTAAGAATAATTATGGTAATTTTGTAGGAAAGTGGGTGGAGATAGGTTAGGTTATGGATTGTTTAGTTTAAAGAAAAGGGATATTATGTTTAGATGTGAATATATGTAATGAAGGGGGGGGGAAGGAAATGGGTAGTTGAACTGAACAAGTGTTAAATTAGGATTTATTGAATAGCCTTAGAGTGGAAGTATGCTTTGAAATGTTATATCGTATGGGGGGTAGTAAAAGGATAGATCACGAGCAGAAATTGTTAAATTGGGAGATAAAATAATATTATTATGTTAAATCAGGAGTTATTAGACATTGTTATAATAGAATCTCACTTTGAAATGCATATTATAGTATAGTATAAGGGGGGTATGATAATTTTATTAGAAAGAAAGGGTCAGTATATGGAGATGGAGTAAGTGGATAGTAAAGCATGATATAATCTGTTATGAATTTGGGTTTTATTATGAAGAAGTCAAAGGGGAAGGGGGGGTGAGGGGGGTTAGGGAGGAGGGGGGGGAAAGTGGGAAAAATTTGTATTTGAAAAACTTTTTCAAAAAAAAAAAAGAATAAAAATAGTATTTTTTAAATCATCCCCGAATCTACCACAATCAGACCACATAAGAGAAGCTCAACTGAACTAATTTCCTCCAAAAAAGCAGCATATTATATATAATTGTTGGATTCTGATTACACAGGAAATATATTGATTTAATATTAGGATCCCAATAGATCATTTCTCTAAAGTTGTCAGAGTTTGTTGCAGAAATTAAATCCAGAAAGCACACACAGTAGTCGTGGGTTTCAAAAACTTTTACTACCGGTTCTGTGGGCGTGGCTTGGTGGGTGTGGCATGGCTTGGTGGGCATGGCTTGGTGGGCATGGCAAGGGAAGGATACTGTAAAATCTCAATTCCCTCCCCACTCCAGGGGAAGGTTACTGCAAAATCCCCATTTCCTTCCGATCATCTGGCAGAGAATAGATGGGGTGGGGCCGGTCAGAGGTGGTATTTACCAGTTCTCTGAACTACTCAAAATTTCCATTACCGATTATCTAGAACTGGTCAGAACCTGTTGAATACCACCTCTGACACACAGGAAAACTGATGCAGCAGGATTCATTAACTTCTTTATAGACATAATAATACATGAAGTAAATTTACAATACCAACAGCAAATTTCTTCCAACCTTGTAGCAGTTACAAGTCAAACACAAGCAGGAGAGAACAGTTAGTTTAATTTCAGCAGAGCAGACTAGTTCAGACTGGTTTCAATTTTGTTTCTCTGCACAGACTCAGAAGCTGCAGACTAAGACACGCCCTGGCTCCAGTCTGTCTCAGCTCCCATTGGCAGACTTTGTTACCATGTTACCTCCCTTCATGACTGGAAGGGACATTAATCCAATTAACTTAATATTCTTTCCATGGTGCACTCCACCCAATGGCTTGGTCATTATGTCTGCCAAATTGTCCTCAGTGAAGCAAGCGAATTAATTTACATTTTATGGCTTCCCTGACATTCCAATATTTAATGTCCACATGCTTGCTTCTACTCTTTACTCTGTCACCTGTTGCCATTTTAATGCAGGCAGCATTACAAGCTTCATACACCATTACAACTTCATTTACCTTTACATTTAAATCCTGTAACAGCTGTACATACCACGTTACCTCTGAACAGAGTTCAGACAAAGCAATAAATTCTGCCTTCACAGTAGAAATGGCGACAGTTGTTTGCTTCCTGGACTTCCATCCAATTAAACCCCTCAAAACAATACAACAATCCCAGAATTGGACTTTCTGGTTTTTACATCGTTTGCATAATCTCTATGTCAGCCTTGGAAGCCATATTAGGCCGGAAGCTTCAATGCTGCCACCTCCTCATGTGTGGGAAAGTAGGAGAGAGGATTTAGGAGAGGGGAATTAGTAGACATAATAGCATTCTTCCTATCGGTCAAGGTCAGGGTGATCCAGCATCTGGAGGAGGAGGGTCAGGTGCTGGGTCGAGGTGGAACGGACGTTGATTGGAACATGTGATCGATTGAGGAGAAAGGGGGTGGTTTGGGGAGCTTTGTATTACTGAAGGAAAGCCCGGGTTTTTCAGATTCAGGATTTCCTAGATGTGCCAGTTTACCTATTTCTAGTAAAGAGAACTTTGGAAAATGTCTGCTTCCGCATCTTTACTGGGAGTTGGGGGTTTTCTGGAATGCTGACATTATCCCGAATCTCCAAAGACACCAGCCAATTCACCAAACAAGCCGTGGAGATTCCCCTCCCCACTGAAGAGAGGGGGGACCCTCAGGCTACAGGAGTACCTCCAAACAAGCCCAGCGGGGGTGAAGACCCGATGGTGAGTGCCCCCATCACCCCTTTCTCAATTAAAGTAAAACTAGTCCTGCCAGAAACAGGGAAAGAAACAGAACTCCCAACAGTAATAGACACGGGCTGCATCAGATGTCTAATCGGCCTTAAAATTGTAGAACAGTTGGGCATCAAAACAACACCCTTAAAACAACCGATTAAATTTTACCAGGTTGATGGCACTCTAATTGGGGGGGTCCCTTCCACTCATGTTACTGAACTGATTAGATTAGAAATGGGGAAATATCATGAACTCATATGATTTATAGTAACCCCAAAGATGTCAGAATCTATCATACTAGGCCTGGCTTGGCTAGATAAATGGGGCCCCACCATCACATGGGAAGGTGGATACCGAAAAGTCAGGATAGGGGTTGGCCCAACACCCCTTTGCCCTCCCCCCAATCACCAACCTACCCAAAATGACCAGCAGCCAGAAACAGCAGCAGCTTCTTCAGACAAGCCTCCAGGCGAACACCAAATCCCTAAGATGTATGCAGACTTAGCCAACGCTTTCAGCGAGGAGGAATGTAACCTCCTCCCCCCTCACCGGCCCATAGACTACACCATCGAATTACAATCAGGGGTTAAATTGGCGAAGCCATGACACCTGCTGAGATGACTGAATTGAGGAAGTACATTGACACCAACCTAGCCAGAGGGCTCATTGAGCCTGCAAAATGCCATTAACCTTGCTTTATATTGGACCTCATTGTTGGGTAGGACTTTCTTCTTGCATCCTACAGCTTTGCTACCCTGTGGCCAAGCCATAGATGTGAACACATTATGTTCACCCATGGATTTCATTTCCTTGCCCATGGCTCCTTTCCACTTTACTTGTTCGATTTTAGGTAATGCCAATACTTCCTTATAGATTAAACAGTTTCACTGATCAATTGTTGTCTGTAGCTTGTAGAAAGGGCTTTGAGCAGGGCCAACATTCTGAGTTCCATTTTAAGGGGAATCACTGTCTTCCATAATATTTCTCTGTTTACTCTGTCAAATGCTATAGAGGCAGGAAACCATTCTTTCCTCTGACTGATATGTTTTAGATGGTGTGATGTTTCAAGACAAAAGAATTGTCAATAGTGGACCACATCTGCTAAAGACTGCTGGTTCTTCTACAAGAAATGCACTTTTCATCTACCTACTTTCAACTCTATTCAAGGGGAAGCTAACATAGATTTTAGTTACATCTGTTAAATAAATGGGCCTGGAATTGCAGAGTCCATTTTCTTCTCTTTTTTATATATATGGGAACTAAAATTGCCACCTCGTAGAATTACACATTTATAATTCTTTTATAAAATGGTTAATTCATGTCTGAGAATATAATTAGCTAATATCATGAAAAAAATGTGAGCTTTCCATTGGGGTTACACCTTCCTATTGTACAAAAGACCCTTTGATTGAACACACCTTCACAATCATGCAACAGAAGCCCTCAAAGCAATGAGGATGGTGTCATGAGTTCCCTCCCCACTGTTATCCCAATCCTGAGTCATGCCACTTAAAATGCCATGGTGAAAAGCAGAGTTTGAATTCCATAGAGATGAAATGGTTGGATCTATCATTCACTCAGACACACACCAACAACCCATTTGCTTTACCAGATAGAGAAACACAAACACAAACCTCGGCAACTTTGTAGGGGCCAACTAATGTTGATATCTGGATGGAGATGTCTCTGTCAGCTCCATCAACAATCACCAAAAGGTTGTCCTTCCTTCCACAGCTGTAGTTGGGAACATTGGCTTCTCCAGTAGACAGCATGTCCAGCAAGGCATCTGAAGTGCCGAGGGTGTTATCATAGTTGTCATAGAAGTTGTAGCCAAGGGTGTGATTGTGCAGGTGTCGGAGATTTTCGTTAACCACTTCAATATTGAAAACCATGCGTAACATACTGTCCTTTTTATTAGGTAAACTAGTGTAAAATGATGTTAATATTAGGATCATCAATAATTAGCAAAAATTAAACACTCTTTCTCTATTTAATCCCCTTTTCCTCCACAAGCTAACAGAGGCTTAAGTCAATATCGATCCAAATCAGAGACAAATGATAGTCACCCATCACTTTTTTTGATATTGTGAATGTTCAGAAGACAGGATGGAAATAGTTCTCCAAAAGGACTAAGATTAAGAATGTAGTATTATTTGTAGCAGAACTAATTTTCATCAGCCCAGTAACCAAGTTGCAGAATATTTCAGTCGTTAAGACAAAAACAGAATACATGGAAGAGGATTTTTAAGAAGTGATTCAGAAAAGCTGTTCTAAAACATGTCATCCTCTATTCCTAAAAAATAAGGGATTGAGTATCAATCTACAGTTATAAAAATATAGAAATGACATGGCCAGAGGGAAGCACAACAATCACTACTTTCAAGAAAACTTCGTATTCAAATCATGAACTGAGGATTGAAGGGGAAAATAATGTGGATTTCTTTCAGTTTTTATTTTCCTCATAATTTGGATTTGAGCCTCTCCTAGAAAATAAGAGAAAAGTGAGAGGCCAGGAAATCAAAAGGATTCAAGAAATTAGTCAGGTCCTGCAATATAAGAGTAACTAAAATAAGAAGAAGAAAAAAAAAGATGATGTAAAACTATTCAATACCACCGACAATATTGCTACCCTACAAAAAGTCCTTGACTGTCTGTCAGAATGGTCAAACAATTGGCAACTCCAAATCTCAACCAACAAATGTTCTGTCTTACATATTGGCAAAAAAAAATAAAAATCAAAACACTAAATACAAGCTGGGCAGATACGACCTCGTAGACGACCCTCACTCTGCCACAGACCTTGGAGTAGTCATCTCCAATGATCTAAGTGCCAGAGCTCACTGTAACAGCATTGCCAAAAAGGCATTAAAGGTTGTTAACCTAATCTTGCGTAGCTTCTTCTCTGTAATATCGTACTACCAACTAGAGCATACAAAACATTTGCTAGACCAATTCTCGAATACAGCTCATCTCTCTGGAACCCGCACTGCATATCGGACATTAATACAATTGAGAGAGTCCAGAGATATTTCACGAGAAGAGTCCTCCACTCCTCTGCTCACAATAGAACTTGGAACTAAGGAGAAATTTCCTGACAGTTAGAACAATTAATAAGTGGAACATCTTGCCTGCAGAAGTTGTGAATGCTCCAACACTGGAAATTTTTAAGAAGATGTTGGATAACCATTTGTCTGAAGTGGTGTAGGCTTTCCTGCCTGGGCAGGGGGTTGGACTAGAAGACCTCCAAGTTCCCTTCCAACTCTGTTATTCTATTCTATTCTTCTAATACCTTATGCCACCAGACTTGAAATTTGGGGCTTAGACAACTTAGAACTACCCCACCTTCGTTCTGACCTAAGCATAGTACATAAAATTATCTGCTACAATGTCCTACCTGTCAATGACTACTTCAGCTTCAATACACGAGCAAAGAATAGATACAAACTTAAGGTAAACCGCTCCAAACTCGATTGCAGAAAATATGACTTCAGCAACAGAGTTGTTAAAGCCTGGAATGCACTACCTGACTCTGTGGTTTCTTCCCCAAACCCCCAAAACTTTAACCTTAGACTGTCTACTGTCAACCTCACCCCATTCCTAAGAGGTCTTTAAGAAGCGTACATAAGCGCACCAGCGTGCTACCATCCATGTCCTAATGTTCCTTTTTACTTACTCTTTTCATGTATTCATAATTACATCTGTACTTATATCTATTATGTAATACATGCTTGATTAAATAAATAAATAAATAAATAAATAAATAAATAATAAAAAAAGTTGTTAGACTTGCAAATGGAGGGAATGAAACTCCATCACAGTGAATGACTTACAACCGAATCTGACTAGAAGGAGCCACGTTGAAAGGTAAAGTTGCAAGTGTTATTTCTGATGGAGAGACGACTGTACCAATGAGAAAATCTCCTGGCCTATAATAGCTCCATGGCTTTTCTCCATCCTGGTGGTCCAAATTCAGTGGGCATTTCTTTCTAAGTTTCCAAGAGACTGACTGGGGCACCAGCAGCATCAGAAGCAGGAGCAGAAGCAGGAGGTCCATAATTCATGGGGCTGAATCAATCTCCTTCCCGTTTCTAAAGAACAATTAGAAGAATTGGAAGCAGTCACACAGGATGGAATCTCCAATGGCTTTCCTGATTCAAATAGAGACAAACCAAGATTCACCTGGAAGAGAGAGAAACTGCACTGAAGATCACAGCTCCTGCCTGTCCTGTAACTTGGGCCACAAAAAGCATAACCTGTGGCATTTATCCTTTTCTAATACAAGATCCCTTCCATGTCACTTCAATGTGATGTTTACACCAAAGGCAGTCACTGGAGAGGGAGGAGAAGAGGTCTCAAGGCCTGTGAGGAGATAATTACAATGAGAAGGAACTTGTCCTTTTGGGATCCTGAACCTCTTCCATCTGATGAGGGGCAGGTGGAGAAAAACATATTAATGAAAAATCACAGATAGAACTCTTGGGGAAGTGTTGTGTAGTGGCCAGAGTCCTTCCTGTTAGGACATGTCCAGAAAGTGATGCTGCAGCAAGAGACCTCAACAGCCAGAAAAGTGACTTCTGCTGTCCTTCAGTGGTCTTTTGTCTCCAGAGACTGCTAAGAAGTTTGGTGCCACTCTACATTGGTGCCACTTAACTCTAGTGCTGCCTGTGCTCTAACGCCATGGAAGCAATCATTATCCTTGAACCCAACTTAATGTGAAGAGGTTGGGGTTTTCTTTTCAATGGGATTTCCATATATGAATCCCAAATTGGAGCTTTATTTTTGAATTCCTTGTAACTGAAGAGAAATTTAATTTTCCATTTTTTCTAGAAATATCAATGTTTGCATGAGAGCAGACTAAGAGACAAGAAAGGGATGGCCTGTTGATGGCATCATTGGCTAATAGAGAGATGGTTATAGAACAATGGATAGAAGTTTTTATTTTAGTTTCCTTTTCACTTTCTGTGTTGTCTCTTCCACACTGAGAGCCTTTACATTTTTTAAGTTTCATGGTTTCATAACAACCACCTTGTGCTGTGAGGTCTGCAGCTGAGATGGTGGCAGTGCCCAGAGCGTGATGGATGGTGTAGCCTGATTTCTTGCTACAACCACCCAGTCGTTGGTTTAGGAGGACCTGGTGAAAGTTCCTCTGGTTTTGTAGATGCACTTGGTGCAACTCCTGTGATATTTTCATCTCTGAGGCTTTATTTGAAACTCCACCCCAGAAGACCTCCAAGTGCTTCAAAGGGCCAGTTTGGAGTTCCTGTGTTCTGGTTAATCTTGGTCAATTGTTGATGGATCATGTTTCTTATCTGGAGGGGGAATGTTAATATTACAGCTGGGCCTAGAAGGGAGAAAAGTGGGAAGGGGGTTGAGTGAGAAGCAAATGGAATAGGAAGGTCCATCCTTACAATGAGGAGCAAAGGATGACCAATATCCCAGGCACATTATTTAAATGTTTATTTTATTTTATTTTATTTTATTTTATTTTATTTTATTTTATTTTATTATTTTATTTTATTTTATTTTATTTTATTTTATTTTATTTTATTATTTTATTTTATTTTATTTTATTTTATTTTATTTTATTTTATTTTATTTTATTTTATTGTCAAACACATATAAGATTACCGATATAAATACAGACATGATTATGAATACAGGATAAGGATCAGTGGTGAAATGTAAAATTTGTTACTACCGGTTCTTTCGGCCGAAGAGGTTGCAGAAAAAAATGCTTTTAAAAGCCTCTGACAATCAGGCAACTCAGCTGGGATCGTCAGAGGCTTTTAAAAGCATATTTTTTTTCAGCTGAGCATGGGGGGGGGGGGCGCAGGGATTTTTGCTACCGGTTCTCCAAACCACCCGCCACCATCGCTACCAGATCAGGTGATCCGGTCCGAACCGGGAGCATTTCACCCCTGATAAGGATACGAATAAAAGCGAACATTAGGACAGGGACGGTAGGCACGCTGGTGCGCTTATGCACACCCCTTACAGACCTCATCATGTCATCCTCACATGATGTATCATGACTTTTTCCCCCTTCACTAAACCAGGGGTGGGCATGGCCAGCTTGTGACACATCCGGCCTGTGGGCCACGAGTTTGACACCCCTGCTCTAGAGACTGCTCTAGAGACTGGTAGAAATGTCAATCAGAGCTATGGAGTTTGATGCCACTTTAGATTGGTGGCACTTAACACTGGTGATGGCTGTGTTCTAACTCCATTGGAACCACTCCGTATCCTTGAACCCAGCCTAATGTTAAGAATAGGGCCTGTTTGGGATTTTCTTTTCAATGAGATCTCCATGTATTAATCCTAAACTGGAAGTGATTTTAGAATTCCTTGAAACTGAAATGAAATTTTATTTATTTATTATTTAATTTTATTATATTATATTTCTATACTGCCCTTCTCCTGTGGGACTCAGGGCGGTGTACAGCCAGGATAAAACATAGCGTATAAAATTTAAAAACATTTTAAAAAAACAATTAAATAATTTTGGCCTGAATTTAAAACAACCCAATTAAAACCAAATTCGATTAAAAAAACTGAGAGGATGGGATCAAGCCAGCCCAGCTAGGTGGAATAGGTGTGTCTTCAGGGCCCGACGAATAGTCCGGAGGTCTGATATTGTGCGTATCTCAGGGGGCAGGTCATTCCAGAGGGCAGGTGCTGCTACAGAGAAGGCTCTCCCCCTGGGGGTCGCCAGCCGGCACTGCCTGGCCGACGGCACCCTGAAGAGGCCCTCTCTGTGTGAGCGAACCGGTCGGTGGGAGGCTATCGACGGCAGAAGGCGGTCTCACAAATACCCCGGCCCTAAGCCATGGAGCACTTTAAAGGTGGTCACCAACACCTTGAAGCGCACCCGGACGACCACAGGAAGTCAGTGCAGCTCGCGCAGGAGAGGTGTTATATGTGAGCGCCCCGTCGCTCCCATAATCCCCCGTGCGGCCGCATTCTGGGCCAACTGCAGCCTCCGGGTGCACCCCAAGGGGAGCCCCATGTAGAGAGCATTGTAGTAGTCCAGGCGGGAAGTGGCGAGTGCTTGAGTGACCGTGCGTAGGGAGTCCCGATCCAGAAAGGGACACAACTGGCGTATCAGGCGAACCTTATAAAAAGCCCCCCTGGCCACAGCCGTCATATGCTCTTCAAAAGACAGCCGTGCGTCCAGGAGGACGCCTAAGTTGTGAGCCCTCTCTGTGGGGGCTAGTGATTCACCCCCAATAGCCAGCAATGGCACCAACTGGCTATATCGGGATGCCGGAAGCCACAGCCACTCGGTCTTGGAAGAGTTGAGTCGGAGCCTGTTTCTCCCCATCCAGACCTGCACGGCCTCCAGGCACTGGGACAGCACTTCCAAGGCATCGTTGGGATGGTCTGGGGTGGAGATGTACAGCTGAGTATCATCAGCGTACTGATGGAACTCCACCCCAAAATCACAGATGATCTCACCCAGCGGCTTCACATAAATGTTGAACAGGAGGGGCGAGAGGACCGACCCTTGTGGCACCCCACAAACAAGGCGCCTCGGGGTCGACCACTGCCCCCCTGTCAACACGGATTGCAACCAGTCAGAGAGGTAGGAGGAGAACCACCGCAGAACGGTGCCCCCCACCCCCAGGCCCTTCAACCAGTGCAACATGATACCATGGTCGATGGTATCAAAAGCCGCTGAGAGACCTAACAGGACCAGGATAGAGGAACAACCCCTATCCCGAGCCCTCCAGAGATCATCCATCAAAGCGACCAATGCCGTTTCCATGCTTTGCCACCTGTTCAAAAAATATCAATTTTTGTATGAGAGCTGACAGAGGCAGGAAAGTGATAACTGTTGACCACATCATTGGCAAATTATAAGTGGAGTTATAAATGGAGTCAAGGTTATTATTTTAGTTTTCTGGACATTTTTTGTGTTGTCTTTCCCTACTGACAAAAACACTGAGAGTCTCTAAATATTGAATTTTCTTGGTTTCTTAAATAAACAGTGTGCTGTGAGGTCTGCAACTGAGATTTTGACAGCACCCACATTGCAGTGGATGGTGTGACCTGATTTCTTGCCACAACCATCCAGAAGTTGGTTTAGGGCAGGGGCCAACAACCTGCAGCTCCGGAGCTGCATGCGGCTCTTTGGGCCTTCTCCTGTGGCTCCCTGTAGGTGATCCCACCACCGGCTGACCCTGCCCCTTGCCCTCCCCTCCCAGTCACTCCCTGCCTGACCGGAGAAGGTAAGGGTGATGGCGGGGGATGGAGAAGCGGCCAGGGCAGAGACAGAGAGATACAGGGAGGGGAGCAGAGGGAGGGAGAGAGGGGAGAGATATATGTCAAAAGGATTTTGTGGTTCCCGGTGTTTTTTAACAACTGGTTCTCTGCCCTAATGACCGGCTGGGTAGGCAAGGCTAGGGGGTCATGTGACTGGTGGAAGTGAGTGACATTGAGTTGGTCATGCCCACCCAGGTTTTTGGCTCCTGGTGTTTTCTTTTCTGTGGGAAAAAGGGCCAAATGGCTCTTTGAGTATTTAAGGTTGCAGACCCCTGGTTTAGGGGGATGTGGTGGCAGTTCTTCTGGTTATGTAAATGCACTTGGTATGGTAAGACTATTGTGACATTCCTATCTTTAAGGCTTTGTTTATCCTCCCCAGAAGACCTTCAAGTGCTTACAGTTAGGAGTCCCTATGTTCTGGTTTATCTTGATCGATTGTTGATGAATTATTTTTCTTATCTGGAGGGGGATGTTAATATGTACAACTTGGCCCACAAGGGAGAACTGAGGTTTGGGCAAGTCCATCCTTACAAGGAGGAGCATAGAATGACCAACATCCTAGCTCCATTATTCCATTCTCCAGAACCTGTCAGAACCTGCTGGATTTCACCCTTGACATTGATCCCTTCCTTCCCATACCTCTCAATTTTAAATCAATGTTAGTGCTACTATTTATTATTTTAAACTTTTATTTTCTTTTGACTTGAATATAACTTGCCTAGAGTCATCCCTAGCCAAGATGGGCAGCGTGTAAATTAAACAAACAAACATACATACATACATACATACATACATTAAATTAT